GTTGTAGCCGAAGGAGGGCGAGAGCGTGTCCGAGGAGCAGTCGCTGAAGTCGGAGAAGAAATCTGAGTCCGAGGCGTCAGTGCCCGGAGAGAAGACTGTAGAGAGAGAGAGAGAGAGAGAGAGAGAGAGAGAGAGAGGAGGGGAGGGGGTGTTACTGTCATTGCATAATATGTGCTCAGTGGGCAGCAGCAGCAGCCTACACAGAAACACGGTGCATGAAGCTGCCCGCGCAGCGCGCGGCCAGCTGAGGAGCAGCTGAGCTGCTCGTGGCTTTAGTCAGACTCCTGCTCTGTGGCAGCTGCCCATAAACATTGCTCTATGTTTTACACATTATTGATCTGTTATTGGTGAACACACACACCTTGGCAGAAAGGTGACCCCACGTCAGAGTCCGCTCCGTCGCTGGGGCTCGAGCCCACACTGTCCACCCAGGCGCTGCACGCGTCCTCAAACTCCGACATGAAGCTGTCTCCGCGCTCCAGAAGCATTGCGTAAACTGTTGCGTTGTTGTTTTTGTGTGTGCAAGGTGCAAAAGCCGCCGACGAGCGGTATCAGACCGTGTCAGGTGGATTCACTGATGTGTGTCGCTGGGCTCGTGTCGGGGATTCCCTCGCGCTGTTAAAATTCAGTTATTAATCCGATACCGGGGCTCTCAGTGCGGCCCGTTAGTCCGCTCGGTGATGCTGAGGATGCTGGGCTCCCTCCGCTCGCTGCCCGTTTTTATACTCTCCGTCTCCTAGGTAACTCCTGTCCCGTTCTTATTGGCCGGTACCGGGGAAAGGGATTCCCCCCGCCGCGCGCTTCGTAGCTGCCCAAACATGGGCAGCATCCGGCTGTGACGGCGGGGAGCCCCCGAGCCTAAAAGGACAGGCGCGGGAGAGCGACGTAGACACGAGAGGAGAGAGGGGTTTCCTTCACTGCGGCAACGGTGCGACCGAGATTATACAACCAGGAGGAGGGCTGGCTGGAGCCTGATGGATGCAGGGATGCAGCAGAGGATGCAGGGATGATGGAGGGACAGAAGGAAAGTCACTGGAGCTGTTTTCGGTGCCGTTTGGCCTCACAGGGTCTCTGATGCTCCACCTGCCTTTGACCGGTGCAGACCGAGGCTCACATCAACCCAGTAATAAAATCTGTATGATGTTCTGGGGTTTTAACACATGGTTCTGTCACATCCCTCCATCAAAGTGGTGCAGTGGTTATTTTGCCTTCTCATCTGTTTCAGTTTAATGAGATTATAAAGTTATTCATGCTCTTTTTTTATTAAATGGCCTCATCTGTTGCACACACAAACCTATTTCTATAGGTTTATCTCAACCTAGTTTTCGTTCCCGGCTACACCTCGACAGGTGTATCACAGGCTGACACACAGAGTCAGACAACCACGTACAGGCAGTTTAAAGTCACCACACAGGCACAGAGAGAACACACACACACACACACACACACTCCTCACAAGGGGTTTAAACTCAGGCCCTTCCTGCTACAAGGCTGTGACAGTGACTCTGCACATTAATAAACATCAGTTCATGGTTTCAACTGTAATGCCTGGAGAAGCGATAACGTCTACAGCAGAAGAAGAAGAGAACCAAACTAAAGTAAATGATCTCATTTATAAACAATAAGAGCAAATAATATGACTGTTAGAGAAAACATGACGGTGTCCAGGTTTAAACCATGCAACACAAAGCAATGAAGTGGGGAAAGGAAGAGGATCAGGCTATGACTAAGATAAATGACAGCAGACTATGGGTTTAAAAATATCTGATGGCATATGGAGCAGGAAACAGGGTCTCGGCCAGCCCTGCTGTGTTGGCAGCCACAGCATCCAAACAGACGCAAATGCAGAACCCCCACCTGGGACTATCACACAGATGTTATATAA